TACTCACATGCCCATTTTACAGATGGGAAAACTGAGGACCCGTGAGGGGAATGGCCACATCAGGGTCTCAGGTAGCACAAGGGTTCAGACCACGGACCCCACATCCCCCCACCACAGGCCCCACCTGGGCTGGTCCTGAGCTGTTGGACAAGAACTTGTACATGACCTGCCCATCCAAGCAGCAGCTCTGCAATGACCTCAGCCCACATGCCTGAGACCCGTGTTCCCTCATTTAACCCCTGCTCAGGCCAGCTCCACAACAGCGGGGACTGTGCTTGTTCACTGCCATCTTCCCAAGCCTCTAGACAGCACCTGGCACACAGGAGGTACTTAGTGTTTAATGAATAAATAGATGAATGAATCAGTGTGAACCCCCCAACAGACCTGCCAAGTGGCTGCTCCTATTTTACAGATAAGAAGCCTGGGATACAAAGTAGCCTTGGGTGAGTTCATTCATTCACGTACACATTCATTCATTCATTCATTCATTCATTCATTCATTCATTCATTCATTCATTCATTCATTCATTCATTCATTCATTCATTCATTCATTCATCCAGCACCCGGGTGCTGCTCCCTGTTGTGGGCAGGCACCTGGGATCCAGAGGTTTAGTAGACCCCAGACACCATCTGCCCTCGAAGCTCACAGCCTAACAGGTGGGACCACATCTCACCACAGCCAGTAGAGGGGACCCTTGACCTGGGCCCCAGCTTCAGTGGCCTCTGCCTAAAAAGATGTTTAATAATATTTAGCAAGGGTTTTTAAAAAGCTACACACACAGACACACACACGAGGGTACTTCAAAAACTTCATGGACAGATGAAGTTCGGGGAGACGGTTGAGGCCAATACACAGAGCGTCCTGGGCTTGCTCACCTTTTCATTAGAGAACAGTTACCAGGGAGGCCCCGGTGTCCAGAAGGCAGATGAGGGAACTTGGCAAACATAAACTAAGTCGCAGGCCAGGTCCCAGGGAACCAGTGCTGGCCGCTAAAAATGAAGCATGACCTTCCAGCCAGTACTCACTAGCTTCCAGGGCCTGTGCCAGGCACCTGCAGACTCTGAGGAAACAGGCCCTGTCCTGTAGGAACCCGGGGCTCTCAAGGGAAATCCAGAGGACACAGACAAACACACCCTGGGACCTGGGAACGATCTGGTTTACAACTTCGAGCTGCACTGTGACCTTGAGCAAACCCACCGCCTCTCTGAGCCCGCTGTCGTGGCCACTTCTCACTTGGTCCTCCACGCTGTCACTTTGGCTGGTTTCTCCCTGCCCCCTCTGTTCCCCCTCCGTGTTCCCATCTCGTCCTTGTTTACCCTCAGGGCCTCCTTTCGCCCCTCCGGTTTCTCCCCTCCCCCACCACACCTAGCAGAGGCCTCTGCCTCCAAAACCCTCCGACCCTACGCTTGGCTGACCCCTGGCGAGCTGTCAGGGGGCCCCTCCTGGGGTCCCAGGGCCCCTGGGTGAACGAGAGCAGCCCTTCGTGGAAGGGTCAATGCCACCCCCTCAGGCCTTGGGAGGAAAGTGTGGCCAACCCCATCTTACACCGGAGGAGACTCGCTCGTGGTCCCCCAGCCAGGGAAAGTCGCCAAGCTCAGAGGCCCTGAGCAAAGGAACACCGATCAGTAAGTGCGACCTACTTTCTTCCCGTAACTGCTCCGAAGCTCTTTTAAACATATTCAAGTTTTCCTCCAAAATCGTTCCCCTCATTTCTCCCCCGCACCCCCGTCCTGGGTCCAGGACCGTGCTTCCCGCCCCCCATTCCAGGCCCAGTCCCAGACGAGGAGCGGAGGCCACATCCCGGGTCAGGGGCTCAGATCCCGGGGGCGGGACTACGGCGAGGGGCGGGAATGCGGCCGGTGGGCGGGATTACGGCTAGGGACGGG